TTTCCATAAAAAGTAACTAAGTAACGTAATTAGTTACTTTTTTAGGGAGTAACGCAATATTGTAATGCATTACTTTTAAAAGTAACTTTCCCCAACACTGTGCATATGCAACAAAGTCAGCCACAAATGTCCATGTCTTTGCATCACTACTTTTTCCACTGCATGCCTTTAGTAAATCCTGACCGTAGATTTTTAATGCAAAAAGAGGGTTTGCACTGGTGCAAGCTGTTAAAATCTGGCCCTAGATGTTGGCTTGAGAGCCTTGTTTAAAAGTAAAAAAAAAAAAATCTGCAAAACTAAATGACTGATTTAAACAGGTGTCCTGAACACCCCCCCATCAGTCAGTCAAAGACTTAGCCCCGCCCCAAACTCATGCCGTTGACTTAGTGTTGCTGTGTCAGGCTGGTTAGGCTGTTCAAACAAACAGGGCAATGTTATTGTAAGCTTGATTGATGGCTGCTCTCAATAACTCAACGCCTCAAGGAGAGGGAACAAGGCTAAATAACACAGTAATTAGAACACTAGTACGTTTATCTTTCTACTTCAAAAGACACTAAAGTATGTTTGTCTTTGTCTACATGCACCTCTTATGTATATGACCATTGATCATATGTATAGCACCATACACACAAGCAAACTGAGAGCCATCTTAAATCCCTGAAACGATTACTTAACCCAAAAAATAAATAACTACAAAATACACATTTATCATCTGTAAACACATTCTACGTGCCAAAAATCTTTTTTTACCCTTTAATGAACATGGCAGGGGTTCATAACGTTGTATAGTGCTGGTGTGTTTCTGTGAGAAAGCCATGTGGCTAAAAAAAAGTGTCATGAGGCACGACTGACGGACGTAGCAGGTGCAGTTCATTTACAGCGACACTGGCACTCAGTAACCCTGTTTGGAGGTCATTGTGAAAAAAGACCTAAGCTTGCTAAATGTCATTCACTTCTCAGTAACAGTTCAATTATGTATAACAATGAATGTTTGTGATGGTAAAATAACTGCTCAATATAAAAACAAGTGTATATTGATATTATTTTATATTTAAACAGGATATAAATATATTAATATGTGAGCAAAATATTTATGAAATAAAACAAGAATGTGACAAAATGTTTGAATGGTTATGCAATTCAGAGCAGCAGATACGGTCAGAAAGTGTTTAATTGTGGTTACTGTTGATAATGTTAGCACCATACCCTGGTAGGCGCCCAAAATGAACATATTTTTAATTTATTTATAAATGAAATTACTAGCATAATAACTTGAATATGAACATGAATTTGAGAATAACTTAATATCTGACATGTCCCTTTCAGCTTAATGACAGCAGCTCTCATGCTGTCCTAAAAATCATAAAAGTTTGATTATTTGCAGGTTTAAATTAAATGTTGAGGCTTGTACAGACTGAAAAATACATTTCTTTTTCACAACACCAGGACCAGATGATTAACATAACATATTAAATAGTTTAAAAGCCAACAGTGCATCCTCTACAAACACAAACACACAGCATTGAGTGAAGGGTGAAAAAGCTAAGTCATACTGTAGGACCTACAGAGGTCAAACGTACAGAATACAGACTTTTATAAAGCAAAGAACACATTTTAATTTACCTACTGAACAAAAAAGTTGAAAGGACTGATTGTGAATTAATAAAATTATTAAATAAATCAAAATTTCTAGAGTTGCTAGAACAGATGTATTGATTTTCAAGAAGAAGTCATTCTGATTGCAATAAAGTGTAAAAGATTATGATACAGATTACAAATCTTGTGCTTACCTGCTCTTTGAAATGCTTTTTCTGGCCAGTAATATCAACTCTATGTAAAAATGGTCTGAAAGGTTGAAGGTGTAGAGCGATTCTCTGGCATCTGTTCACTCAATGAGATACTGTTGGGCTGTTTATCTATAGAAAACTATGTGAGTCATGAGCAGTAGACTCAGGCCCCCACCATTCTTGAGGACCCACCCATTCAACCCGCGGACAATGTATAGACATAGAACAATGAGAACATCTGAGTAAAAGTCAATAAATCTGTTAACTTGATTTATTCTCGTGAGGGCTGAAGATGGCATGCTCTCCAACTGTCAATCACCCACATGATAGTTTTGCTTGTTGCCAGTCAAATGTGGAAATAGAGGGCACATGCATGTAATTTATAAGGATCACCATATCACAGCAATAGATATTCCTGCTTGCAACCTGCTTGAAGCTATTGACTACAAAAAGAAAGCAGGAATCTTGACAAAGAAGCCAGGTATTCAACAACCCGAAATAACTTACTTTTATGAGCTCAAATCAGTCAGTGACACTACAACTCTAGTTCACTGTAATACAATTTTGGCTAAAGGTACAGATTCATCTCCTACAGCATCCAGTGGTTGCCAAGTTTACCAGAGGTATCTGTCTACCCAAATATTAGTTGTGTTTACATGGTTCTTTACCTTGGTTCTTTGAAACACAAGCCAGACATTGCTGGATCATCTCTCTCTCTCTCTCTCTCTCTCTCTCTCTCTCGACTATGTATTGACAGACAGAACAGAACTGTTATAATATGGAACAGCTCCTATTCGTCTACACCCATTATCTGTGAGACACCTCAAGGTCCTGTATTGGGCCCTATTTCCTTTTCCTTATACCTTGTTAACAGTTGTCCGAACTTTTATGAATAAATGTTAATATAGCGAATATAATATGATCTAAGCAAATTAACACATTTAAACAGAGCACTATTAAATAATAATAATAATAAATACAGCTTATAGTCATAAACATCCATGAAATACACACACACAAACAAAATAACACAAAACAGTTGTTACTGTGCAAAATCTGTTGTTTCTGCCACTTGATCAAGCCACTCTTCTTTAAAGCATGATGACTTTTTTTATTCTTCAAGTTTGCATTGCCTCTCCTATTGAGCTCTTTTGTAAGGAACCATCAAAGTATTCCAACAGAGATTGATTTGAATACAATTAATTGGCTTCTAATTGCCCTTTGTGGAGCATTTTATTTTTTTTGCATGGATTCGACATTAAAAGTGCATGGCTGTGCACACATGCAGCTTAGTTTTTTTATTCTGGCGTTCTTGGCTTCCTGTTCTTTCTGTCTCACAGCAAGGCACCAGGCAAAGTCATCATCTGCACTTGGACAGCCTCATATATATATATATATATATATATATATATATATATAT